GCCTAATCTGACGACGTGAAAAAGAGCCTAATCTGACGACGTGAAAAAGAGCCTAATCTGACGACGTGAAAAAGAGCGTGCGCCCTTCTATTATTACTAATAATCCAATCGCTTTAGCCTCATTATTGTTGGCAACATTACGCCATTCTTTACAAGTCAATATAAGACTTAATGGGTCTTTAATATGCCTAAAGGTCTTAATTTTAACGTTAACAGGAAGTAAGAACGAAATTTAGAATTTCTTAGGATAATAGGGTTAAAATGTATATTTATTCATTATAACTCCATTTACAACATATGTTTGCGGCGCGTATATTTAAAATAAAGTTTGATTATTTCTTGTTTAGGAATGCGTTACTGAGTTTTGCAAATGATAACTATGGAGATTAGTGTTACCTTTGCATGAACATAATCCGAAAATATTTGACTATCATGCTGAAACTTGGATACGTAAATGATTAACACTACCTCTTATTTGTTTAATGTTACACGATTTTCAAACAAATAAAAAACAGACAAACAAAATTATTACCTGTTACATTAATGAATTAAAAGCCAATAGCCACCTTTACATTGTACGTACGCACATATGTTGATTTGTGTAATGAATGTTTTTTGCGTAACACTGATATATCTTCTAAGGTATTTAGTAAAGGTATACTGTACGGTAGTACGGTTAATATGGACTTGCACGTTTCAATTTTTATAAGTCAGCACTTTTTAATAGTTAGAGTACCGTTTCATGTTGGAGTTAGTAGGAAAGGAACTTGAGTTTAATGAATTTTTCCTTTTACAAATTGTACATACTATCTTGATTTTCTACACCTCTGCCCTAATTTGCGTTTCCGTACCGTACTACACCCACCAGTGTAAACTTTAAATTTTCACATGGTATTTAGAAGTCGTACGTATCTTTTTGCAAAGCATAATAAAGATTTATCAAGCATAAAATTTCATTTTATTAGGATTCTAAATTTGGCAAAATTTTATATTCATACATAAACAGTCATTTGATTTTAATTCTGTATATGTAAACAATAGAAAATCCGGAAATAAAAAATTGTCATATGACTACATATAATCATCGTGTGCATATATTGATCTACAAAAATCGGCACAAGGGTTTATTCTGCATCTGGAGAACAGAATTACTCCTATTTCATTATTCTCATTATTCTTGAGATAAGTAAATAAAATTTCTCCTAACTTCCGTTTCCTTTCAAGGAATGTTGTGCTTTTATTTTAGATTCATTGATTATCTATATCGGAATCTTGCGGGTTTGTATATCAAATTTGGTTCCTTGGATATATCAAGCCAATTTTAGCATATTGATGAGAAGCGGCTTGGTACACCATAATATATTGTTGTCAGTGTTGGCATTTTGCTATACCTTTACTATCGGTTTATAATTCTATTCACTTTTTTTTTCTATTATAAATTTTTAGTATTAAACTTTATTAATTAAATATAAATTATTATTTTACTAATGCTCTAACAATATATATTTAAATAATTATAAATTATTAATAAAATGTTTTTTATAAAGCCAAAAAAGTGAACTTTTGCGATATCACTATTTTGATGGACAAATGTATATTTCAGAATTTGTAATAGCGTATATATTTAAGAAGTTCTTTTTCCCGAATATTGATATCGATATCGATACCTATCGATACCGATACGTTTCACATCTAAAAAATGTAAAAACCTCATCTTTTCGCCTTTTACTCCAAAGTTTTTTTTTTTTAAAAAAATAAAATTCCAAATATGAACCAATCCACGGCTCTAATTGCTAACTCTCAACTACAAAACAATAATGGCTCGTTGCAAAGGCCTCAGAATATTAGCAGTTCACAAAATGCTAATGGTCAATTTCGAGGTGCCTCAAATATTGGCGGGCAGCCACTAAGGCTTCAAAACCAATTAATCAGTATTACCATTGCCGCTCAATATTATATAGACCTAGTTGAAGGCACTGATCCATTCACTAGAACACAAGGGTTAGAAAATTCTTCACCACAGAACTCCCAATCATTAACGTTGGGGTTTTCCTTCCCATAAATATGATTATGCATAATTTCATTTTTTTAAATTGGCGTTTTTTATGACGATTTGTTCCATTAAGTTTTATGTTCTAATATATAGTTACCTTTAAGAGATGTTATTAAATAATTCTAAATTGCATACTATGTAACATTTTTATATATGTTGTTCTATATAGATTATATATTTTGTTAAAATATATCGTGACTTATATGTTTAATTCATTAGTTCTTAGGGAATTTATCGTCTTTAACATTGTTCAATTGAATTTATTAAACTCTGTATTTTGGTAGTTTTCATAATATCAGTGATAAATTGTCTATCAAAAGTTATATCCTAAAGCTTAGTATCAAATTGTTATGTATTAATAAAGAATTTGGATTTGCCACTTTAACACTTATATTGTTCTGTAATAACTTTAGATATCTATTTAGTACATTTTTTTATTTGATCGATCTAAGCAAAAATTAGTCTGAACTTGAAACTTGCAGTTTTTTTAATGTATTTTAAATTTGGAGTAGTTATTTTAAAGTGCTATTTAATAAAATAATACTTAACAACGTCCTAATTACGTATCTGATCTGCTTTATTTGACATAACAGTATTTAGCGAAATTTCGAAACTTGGTACTCAAAATTTGAAGAATGATGAAACTTTTAAACTTCTGGAATGTAAGATCGGAAATTTTTGAAATATTACATGCTCAGCAGTATATTTGATGCGTTACTTTAAAGATTAAAAGAACCTGTATGACATTCTGATTTCAATGAGTTCTTTATGTCTATACTTCTGATTACATCATTACGCCACCGTATATTATATCTAAAATATGGGTTATAAAAAAATAATTTAAATTGAACTCAACTATTTCCAAAAATGCTTAACTATTGTCAAAAAAGATTTCAGCTGATACTTTAAAGTTTACAACTAGGGTCCTTAATTCCATTTCGTTATTTTGTCTCTGTCGAATCTTTCTTT